CGAGCCGGGGGGCTGTGTGTGTTGGAAGGGGGCATGTGTTTTCCAAAGAGCGTGGGATTTTCAAGCCCCCATTGGGAGTCAAGGGGAATCTGTGAGGGTGATTTATACCCTCATGCTTTAAATGCTGGTGTGACATAGCTGTCACCACAGTATTTGCTGCCTCCGCGGAGTGTATAGCAGTGTGCATGTGTGTGGGAATGTGTGCGCAGGAGCATGTATGTAGGAGTACACGTGCCGGCTGTGGAACATGTAACTGCGCACATGTGCAGGCGCGTGTGTGCGGGCTTTGGGGCTCATTGGTGAGTGCAGCAAGTTCATGTGGCCGTGGGTGTTGTGACGACACGCCCACTTGAGGCTTGCAGCCAGGTGTGGGGTGCTGGTCAGCAGCCACCGTCCTGGGCGTGGGGTGCTGGCCAGCAGTCATTGTCTGTTACCTTTATGAGGAGATTGGTGCACAGCCAGTATTCCCACACAGCAGCTCGAAGGAAGTCACGTGTTTTGGCATCCGTCACCCCCGAATTAGAAACAGGACAATAGAGGAAGTTGTTGGTCGGAACAATGGTCATTGCACTTGTCTGAGTGCATCTGCAGATCTCACAGCCTTGTTTGTTGTCTGAGTGCTCAGCCCTTGCTGGAGCAGGCCTCAAGGCCTTGCGCTTTTCTGTGCTGGGGAAAACCTGTGCGGGACACCACGCCGGCGGCCTGAGCAGAAGAGGCCCCCGCGTGCTCCGGCTTTTCCATGTTCTCAGCAGCCCGGAGGGGCGCTCAGGAATGCAGACCTGCCTGTGCCCTTGCATCGCTCTTCCCGCGTGGTGTCCTGCTTTGGCCTGGGGACTTTACGCTGTGCCCTTCAGAGGAAACCTTTAGTGTGCACTGGCACGACCATGCACCAGCCTTCCGTCGGGGACTGTAGGCACCCCGCGCACGCACGCGTGTGTGCACACATGGCTGCCGAGGTCTCTTGGTGGGCATGTGCCTACCCTACAGGCGCCGGCCCTGCCCCCCTTTTGAGAATGCAGGCTTCCTGCGTCTCTCTCCCTCTCCAGCTCTATCTAGATCTTAGGTACCAGTATTTAGTCCTCCATGGGGTGGTATGACCTTTATTCTTTTTTGGAGTATGATGTGAAGGTTTATTTTTATGTTATTTTATGTTATGAGCAGGTCGGCATTGCCTTTAAAGCTGGGTTGATGATTCTGTTGTCTTTGAAGAAGTTTTTGGTCACCTGAGTCTGTCCTAGCCGTGAGCCTCAGCTCCACTGGCCCCTCGAGGAGGAGGTAACTTCCATGCAATGAGCCACATGCCCGCAGGTGGCTTCTCACAGGAAGGGGGGGCACTGGCAGGCCTTTTACACAAAAGATGCTAGTGGCATGTCATTGGCATCTGCGTAGCTAACTGCCAAGGTGCCAAGTGAAGTCTGTCCACGTGTCCCGTGCGCTTGCTGGTCCACGCCCGGTCCTCACGCAGACCACTTCACATGGCTTTTGGAGGCCTGAGCCGGCACTGCTGCCACTCTGGTGGACAGGATAGCTTTCTGGGGCAGACAGCTGGGTGTGCTCCCCCACTGCAGCTCGCCGCTCTTCACTGGGCTCGGCTGAGTCCCACCGTGAGGCCAGGGATGGGGAGGGGCTGAGAGGACCCAGGTGAGGGAGACCAGGCTCCAGACCAGACCAAAGCCTGTAGCAGGATATCCTGCGGGCTCACATGCATCTGCGGTGTTGCCCTTGGCCCCGAGGCTCCTATCTGAAGAGGGAGAGTGCTTGGACACAGGCCTCCCCCCCGCAGAGGAGGAGCCTTCCCTTGGCCTCAGAGGCTGCACCCAGAGTGCAGTCCCAGGTGTTTTGGAGACCACAGCATGTGGCGTGCATTGGGGTGCATGGCCAGCCAGGTCTGGACTTTCCATAGAGATTCCACAGAGCCAGAGGAGCCCTGCTTAGAAGCTACTTCCTCACACGCTTCTGCTGCTATGGCTCTACCCCCAACATGCACATGAACTCCGGCTTCTCCCTGACATGGGAAGCCAGTTCCATAGGCCTGAAGGCAGCTGCAGCCAGAGGCTACAAGCTGTGCCGGAACCACTGCCCATTGCTCTCCCCAGCTAGCCTTCCAGTAAGCTGCTGGGGTGCCTGTGGAGAGTAGGGTTAGCACATCTGCAGCACCCTCCTCCACCAGCCGTCCTCAGGCCGCTTGGCAGCCTGACCCTCACCAGGCTGTCCTCTGGACAGCTACAAAGGAAGCTGCTTCCTGACCCTCATCCAGGGCAGAGGTTGGCATGCTCGCCCAGTGACCCAGCTCCGAGTCCTGGATCTGCAGGACTGACCTGACCAGCGGGCTGAGAATGTGTATTTGCACACACACCACTCCTGAGACTTGATCTCAGAACCTGGGCACTGTCCCTGAGCTATTTTGCTTAACGTTAGTGCTCTACCATTTGAGACACAGCTCAACTTCTGGGTTTTGGGTAGTTAACTGAAGCTGGTTTTGAACTGTGGTCCTCAGATCTCAGCCTTCTAACTAGCAGGATTACAGGCATGAGCCACCTATACCCAGACAGTTTTTGCAGATTTTAAAAGTGGTTACAAAGCAACCAGACAGGAAAGTCCACAGCACAGATGGTATGTGAGGCTCAAAGAGCCTAAAATATTACCACGCACCTTGGTGAATAGCTGGTCATGGTGGACTGGTTCAGAACATTCAGAACCAAGGACTTGAGCGTGTTGACACGAACCTTAGAGCAGACTGTCTCAGCTTAGAGACGGTTGGCCCTCGGGGCCAGAACACCCTCTGCTGCAGGGTTGTGGTGTGCACAGAGAGTGTTGGCAGTGTTCCTAGGCTGAACCTCCTCCAGCTATGACATCGGATTTGCCCCTGGCTGAGGACACTGACGTGGAATAGCCCAGGTCTGCTTGCTTCCGTGGCCCATTGCTTCATTTTTAGCTGTAGCTGAACTGTGCCTTGGAGTTGAGGCTTGGTCTTCATTTCATTGAGTTTCCCGGGATAGGACAGGATAGGACCAAGGAGTGGCCGGGCAGAGGAAAGGGTTTGCTCTTCATAACATCACGTTGTTAGGATTTCTTGTACAATGAGTGGCTGCTGCTTCGTCACCGGCCTCTCTGGCTGTGTCCCGTGGGACTCCCTGATGGTCAGGTGGGAGAAGGCCATAAAATCATGACCACTGTGGTGTGAGGTCAGCAGGGTAACAACAAGGGAGGTCATGCCACTTCCAGGAATGATTCAGAAGAGACAAGGGTGGGGGGACATAAGAAGTGGAGTGTTGTTCTTGGATCTGGGGTGTGGACTGAGTGGGGTATTCTGTGGATCTGGGGTATGGATTGAGTGGGTATCCTCCTTGGATCTGGAGTGTGGAGTAAGTGGGTGTCCTTGGATCTGGGGTATGGACTGAGTGGGGTGTTCTGTGCATCTGGGGTGTGGACTGAGTAGGGTGTGGACTGAGTGGGGTGTTCTGTGGATCTGGGGTGTGGACTGAGTGGGGTGTTCTGTGAATCTGGGGTGTGGACTGAGTGGGTATCCTTGGATCTGGGGTGTGGACTGAGTGGGTGTCCTCCTTGGATCTGGAGTGTGGAGTGGATTGGGGCGTTCTATCTATGGATCTGGCCTCAGTTGAAAGTCGTTCGACAAGGAGGTCTTTGGAAGGAAGATTGTAGGCAAGTAGCAGTTTAGGGCCTGCTGTGACTGAGGAGCTGATAGGGTAAAAGACCATGGTGGGAGGGAAGTATTTTAATTGTGGGAGCCAGTGAAGCGAGGGCTGCTGACTGCCTTGGACTTCAGGGGCGATAGAGCCAGCATGGGAGAACCAGGCACTGTCCAGGAGCCGTGCTAAGCCTGCCCTTCGGGGACGCTAGAGAGAGGGGCGGGGCTGAGTAAGAGTTCATCGTTGGTGAAGTGGTTATTACTGGACGCGCAGTTGAAAATCTTCCATTAAGCTATCAGTCCCAGACCTGCCTTAATATATGATATGAGCCCCAGTGTGGATTCTCAGCTCTTCTTTTATAGCGCTTCAGGCGGAGCCAGTATTTGGAGGCCCACCTCCAGAAGAAGATGAGGTGCTACAATTCCCGGATCTTACCTTGTATTAGGGACCACTGGCCTCATGTTCCTAGAGCATTTCTTCTTTTACATCCCTCCCTCCCTCCTTTGGTGTTTAAGCCTCAGCCCCCTGCCTGCTGGGCCTACAGCCCGCATCCGTGCCAGCTCCCTGGGGCATTTCTAGGGAGGCGGGTCTGGTCACTTTACTGTGCTGTGTTTATCCAGGTGGAGACACGTCACAGCAGGCTGCACAGGAGTGATTAGAATAGACTTTTCGGCCTGGTGCTCCAGGGCCCTAGCCCCCTGGGGAGCGCCCCCTGTGGGCTGGGAGTCGCTGGGCCCCCTAGAGTTAGAGGCACAGCTTGGCAGAGATGAGCATCCTTCCCACTCCCTGGGGGTCTGTGGCGGGCGCCATGTGGTCATCAATGCATTTTCTGACCAGGTCAAGAACCACTGCCAGAGAGGCTGACAAAGACCAGGAGTCGGGACAGATTGAATTTCCCACTGTGCAGCCCTCCTTTACCTAGCTCCCCTCCCTCCACCGTCCTTCCACGGTCCAGGTGCTGACCAAAGACTCCTACGGTTCTCTTTCAGCCTCCATCTCCACCTTCCTGTCCCACCATGATACCGGCCGGCCAGGAAGGGTGCTCCCTGTGCATGCAGATGACAGGAAGAGGCAATAGAATTAGCCTTGGCCGAGTCGCTTGTCTCTGCTCAGCTTTCCTTGGCTGTCCCATGCATGTCCATCCCCAGAACTAAACTTCCTCAGAGCCAGGGTCACAGACACAAGCCAGGGCCTGAGAGTGTAGAGAGCCCGCCCGCTGGGGCAGTGGCCGGGCCCGGGGTGCGCACATTCTCTGGTCAGGCGACTGTGCAGCTGCGCGGAGGCTGCCCCTCACTCTGCCGGGTTGTCTCTCCTGTCTTGCAGATCCTCCAGCCACTCGATGGGGCTTCACCAAGGACCTCCTGTGTGTGTCACCTCCCCACCTCTCTGTAGCAAGAGAAGCGCCCGCAGCGCCTCCACAGTCAGGATGACGAAACTGGTGTTAACTGAGTGGCACTTATGGATTTTTAACTCTAACTCACAGTGAGCCAGCAAGCCCTATGTTTACAGTCCAACCAAAATCCCTTCTGTTTTGCTGCACATCTCCTGCGATTGTGAGAAGTACAAAGAGGAATACAAGTGTTATTTGCCGAGGAGGGCACACGCACCTAAAGCAGAACAAGAAGACGTCTTAATTTATCATTGAAGAGAGATGATAGTATTATTTATATAGATAGAATAAATATATATATATTTTTTGGTGGTAATGAAAATGGCTCCGCAGAATGCCGACTCAGAATCTATGCAAGTTCAGGAGTTACCGGTGCCCCTGCCAGACCCGCAGAAACCTGGAGACACGGAGGTGGAGAACCGCGATGAGACCATCAGTGAGGGGTCCATAGACAGAATCCCCGTGCGCCTATGGGTGATGCACGGGGCGGTGATGTTTGGCAGGGAGTTCTGTTACGCCATGGAAACGGCGTTGGTCACACCTATTCTGTTACAGATTGGTAAGTGCACCTCTTGTGGGCGGGGCTGAGGCTGAGTGCATCCATCGTGGCTGGCCCAGTACCCACAGAAGCCCTGACACAGAGTCCTTCGCTTTTCTCCCGACCCTGTGATGGCTTTCTCCTCCCATGTAACCCAGCACGGAAGGCCTGGTCCTCTGATGTTGCTGTCAGATTGCAAGTTTGGGCAGAGTATGGCTGAACATTTATGGCAGGATGGATCAATACTGATTACCTCTTCTCTGCCCTACCCTGCCCTGCCCTACCGAGACAGACAAGCTGTGGCAGCTGCTGGCTGCACCTTGTTAGTCAGGGAGCTGTCTCGTCGTGAGTTCTAAGGGCTCCTTCTACATCCTGGTGAGATGTGCTTACCATGTTCATGTGTGTACATGTGTTCCCCATTCTGTGGCTTTCCTTGTCAGTATCTGTCAAAAAGTTGTAATTTTGATGAAACTTGACATATCAATGTTTCCCTTTATTCTTTATAAACTACGAAATCTGGAATTGCTGGCCCCAGGTCATGGTTTTCTCTTAGGTTTTCTTCTAGATGTTTTACAGTTTCAGCTCTCCTACTTCATCTTGAATTCATGCTTGAACATAGTGTGAGTCAGGAGTTCCTCTCCCTTGCATATGCAGTCCACGTGTTTCACCCACTTTTAAAGTACCATCCTTTCCCACTGAGCTACTTCTGTGGCTCTTTATTGACACGAACTAATCATACACTGTGAGTGTATGTCCGGATTCTGTTGTGCTCTGCAGCTGTATGATGCTTAGCTGTACGGTGCATCTTTAAATTAGGAAATCAGTTCCTCTACTTCAGTTCCTGTGCTTATTTCAGTCCTTCACATTTCCATAAAAATCTTGGAATGATCAATTTCTGTTGAAAAACTATTTTTTAACAATTGTAGTGAGGGTTAAAAAGAATTGATCTTTTGATATTGAGTCCTCCAATATTTGGTTGTGGTATATCTTCTTAATGTTTTTTAGTTTCTCCTAGTGATGTTTTATAATTGGCAGTATATAAATCTCATATGTATTAACTTTACCTGTGAGTCTTTAGTTGCATAATTTTGTATCTGGAAGGAGCTCAAGGGTGTGTGCTCAGCACATAGGAGTGGCAGGTCACCTCATTTTTCTCTCTGGCTGTAGAGTGGAAATCTGGCGGTATCTGCCCAGCCCAAACACCCCAACTCTGCTCTCCTTGCCCTGGGGGATAAGTACTTGATCTTGCTGCCTCGTGAGCCTGGCAGTGGGGCGGGGGGGCTCCCTCTGTTCTACCTAGTCCAGCTCCCCTGACTCCACAGGAGCTCCTAGAGTAGCAGCACTGTCTGTGCTGGTGTTGAGGAGTTCATGATGGGAGAGAGGAGGTGGATGTGCTGTGGAGAGCCTCCTGCATGCTGGGGTCCAGGATAGCTGGAGAGGGGAGCAGGATGCTGGAAAGAAGGGACAGTGCACCCGATGGAGCAGTGACCTGCTGGTCACAGGACCACCCACCAGTGTGGTCACAGGAGAGCTGCTCTAGCTCAGCCTGTGGGGTGCCCGCCCATCTGCCCGCCCTTCCCAGGCGCCCCCGCAGGGGAAGCTCACAGGTCAGTGCTGTGGTCTGAACTCCGCAGTATTGTCCACTGCGTTCAGAAGCTACCTGCATGTACACAGTGAGGTCTGTCTCTCTCATCTCAAAGACATGCAGTTTCTGTCCTAGTTCTTCCTACCTCCTACATGTAGCATTTTTTATGCAAGCATCTTCGTGTCTGTCTCTTAGCATCCAACAGACCCTTAGCTGACTCCACATTAGGTCAGAAAATTGCTCTGTCCACCGCATCTTCCTCCATCTGTTAGTCTGCACCTGGCGGGGAGGACATGTTCCCTTCAGCTCGTGGGCACTGATGAGCGTCTTGCACCTGCTGAGTGACAGGTCCTGCATGCGGCTCCCTCTCCTTCAGATCCTCTGCTCATGGCTTCCTTACCCAATTTCCAACAGCTGGTTGAATAGCTCAACTTTTGGGAAAGACTTTTTTTTAATTTATTGTTATTGTAGAGGTGATAGAGGGTTACATTTGTATGAGTCAGGTAAAGAGTACATTTCCATTCATTACAGTGTCTTCCCTTCCCTCACTCTCTCCTAGTCCCTCCCTCCCCTCTCCACCCACGAGTTGTAGAGTTCACTTTCATCAGTGTCCAGTGAGCTCTACCGCTGCACTTTGTCACCTTTTTCCCTCAAGTTCTGTGCCCTTGCTCTTCCCCTCCCAATGAGACACACATGGATACACCATACATAAGGTAAAGAAGGCAGAATCACATTTAAAAAAAAAAAGTTTTGTTTCCATATCTTAGAGTTCATTTCAGTATGTATATTATTTTATATAAATATGAGGAAGTACTTAAGCACCATGCCTTGGTGATTCTCTCCTAAGAGTATCCTCTTTAGTCTCCCTGTGTGTGAGTATCTAGAATCCTGTATAATTTGTCATATCCCAGTGCATTTTAAATCTAACTTGGGATAGACTTTTAAGGGTATATGGAATCTCAGCTCCAGGCTCAAAGTTTCGAAGAGAGGCGGCCCGTCCTGTTGTTGGGTTTTGCCTTGCTTAGGGCTAGAGTGGGCTCAGTGGTAAGACTGCTGAGAAGGGGAGATGAGCCAATGGGGCCCCATGGTGGGCTGCAGGCTGACCAAGGTCTTGGTACATGGCAGCCCCTTGTGGAAGCATCTAGAGGGCAGAGGCACTGGGCTTGTGGGGTCTGTAGAACACACGTGTGTGTCTGCCCCCACCTTCCAGTGGCTAGTGGCAGGTGCGTTACATGTGGTCACTGCGGGGGGGTAGGGCATGGGATCTTGTTATTGTTACTAGTCAGGTGACGAGAAAATGGCTTTTTAGGCAATGTCACCCTTTCCCTCACTCAGTTTTTTCCTCACCTCCCCAACCCACAAGTTATACAGTTCACTTTCCACACAGTGTCCAGTGAGTGCCATTATTGCCTTTGCCACCTTTAAGGGTCCAGTCATTTTTAATGAAGGTTTGGAGGCTGCCCAAGCCCTGTGGAATGTCCCTGTGAAGAGCCAGCCTGGCTGAGTCACCAGGCCAGCCGGTGGTGCTTGGTTCCCAGGTCATGGTTTTCCCTTGGGAAGGAGAAGTCCCGCCTCCTACTCCCGTTTATTGTTTCCCTCTTGGCTCAGAAAGTACTCTTAAGGGAAAAGGAAAAAGATAACAGAGGAAAAGGGTGCCTCTTGTTCTCTCGGCTTGACTCATGAGTGAGACCGAGTTAGCGTGGGATCCTACCTGCTCCATCCTCTGCGAAGTCCTGACCCTAGCACCCAGGAGCACCCAGGACTGGACAGCGGTGTCCCAGGACCTACCAGTGCAGAAGTCAGATTTGTTCTCTATTGGGGGGGCGGGGAGGTAGAGGAACAAAGCTGTATCACCTTGCAAATGGCCCTTGGGTTAAATACACCAGACATCCCTCTGTGGCAGCTTCCTATGTGGTAACCTGGTGCCACCCTTTCCTCCTATGGGGACCCCCACTTCTGTCTAGTATGAGGCACGCTCACTTGGGAGAGGTGCTGGCTGGGAGCAGGGTACCTACAGGCTAGCAGAGCAGCCTTCTGCTGGGGGACACCAGAACTCTGCATGCTGTTTCAGAACCAGAGCCCAGAGCTGGCTCATCTCCTTGGTGGGAGGAGCTCCATGCCCCATTGCGCTCCAGACACCTGGGTGATGGTCGCGTGCAAGTGACTCTCCTACTGCTGCTGGAGATGGCTAAGTTTAGAGCACCTGCCAGCAAGTGCAAGGCCTTGAGCTCCACCCCAGTCACACGCCCTTCTCCCCTTCTCTCTCTCTCTCTATCTCTCTGTGTCTGTGTCTGTCTCTCTCTTTCTCCATAAACATGGATGGCCTTAGGGGGGAACTAAGAAACATGTCTATGATTGCCTGAAAGCAGTGGCCCTAACAGTAGGTGTGTGCACTTGCACACTTACATGCTGTGGCTCCATTGTGAGCGCTGAGCACTTAGGGCCTGGTGGGGCCCTGCTGGAGGTGTATGTGCAGTACTGACAGCGCCTCCCACACCTTCCTAGAGCCTTAGGCTTCCTGGGGACTGATCTGGTCTTGCCTGGAGGCACCCAAACAGCCTTTGGTTTGTTTACCCATGACCCAGGCCTGGGCTGGGGTGAGCTCAGCTGTCAAGTACATGCTTAGCACGCACAGGGTCTGAGTGTCAGCCCCAAAGCTCCCCCAAAACAGATTTTGTCTCTGTTTTTTGGTTGGGTACACACCATGCATGGTCCCAGCCTCTCAGGAGTCTGGGGAGGATTGCTTGCATCTAGAAGTTCAAGACCAGTCTGGGCAACAGAGAGGACCCACACACCCCCCCCCCTCACATTATTTGTCTTTGTGGTGCTGGGAATCAAATCAGGGCTTCATGTGCACCAGGAAAGCATTCTGTCACTGAGTCACATGAACCTCATTTCAGAAATAAAGGGAGGGGGGAAGAATGGAGGAAAAAAGAAAAAGCAGACCCTAGAGCTAGCCCAGACAGTTTCCTTCTTGGCAGGAAGAACTCTTTTTGTTTTTTGTTGTCAGTTGTGGGGCTTGAACTCAGGCCTGGGCGCTGTCCCTCAGCTCTTCAGCTCAAGGTGAGTGCTCTACCACTTGAGCCACAGCGCCACTTCTGGTTTTCTGGTGGTTTGTTGGAGATAAGAGTCTCATGGACTTTCCTGCCCGGGCTGGCTTTGAACCACAATCCTCAGACCTCAGTCTCCTGAGTAGCTAGAATTACAGGCATGAGCCACCAGCGCCCTGCTAGAAAGAACTCTATTTATTTATTTATTTATTTATTTTATTGTGAAAATACCATACAGAGGGGTTACACTTACATGGGCAAGATAACGATTACATTTCTTATCAAGCATTGTAGCCTCCTCCTTAGAAAGAACTCTTAAGGGGCTGGGAAGGTGGCTCAGTGGTAGAGCACTTGCCTTGCATGCTCAAGGCCCTGGGTTCGATTCC